AAACTGCAAACAAAAAGAAAAAATTCCCGAACATGAATATAACTTAAATGGTTGCTTCAGATAAACAGCAGTTGGTTAAATGCAGGGAAACATGCATTTATTTTTTCTGTTGGAAGCAAGCAGTCTCTCACCCTCCCCAGTTTTTGAAATGAAGAGGTCTTGGCTCAGTACCAAATTGGGATTTAAAAATTCATGCCTGCCATTAGAATTTATATAAGTGTTGAATTATTTACATGCTGTACCAATAATGAGCTTAATATCTAATAGAGATGATTTAATAAATATAAAATGCCATTGGAAAAACATAATCAAATAACTGTAATATGTCAGTATGGTCTGGACTCTTTTTGATTAAGGATTCTGTAGAAAATAACTAAGCGTAGTATTTTTTTCATTAGAGTTGTAGAAAAACCTATACTTTCTTATACATCTCTTTCTTCTGTCATGGTTTCTTCTGAACTAGAAACAGATTAGGAGTCTTAATGGAGAAGGAATATAGGAATAGGCTTAGTAACAGTACCATTAAATGTAGGCAGATATCCAAGACCATGAGCTCTGAAGGGCGCAGAATAAAAACTATTTTAAAAGAAGAATCACGATGTAATCTTAGAGAGAGAACTTTGGTTAGACTTGTATAATTGCTGAAAGGATTGGACACACCTTCCATATATATTCAGGTATGAATGAATATGTGTTTTCTGTTCATTTTTTTCTTTGTCTCTCTTTTTCTTTTTCAGGTCTATTTTATTTTTCTCTTTGAATGTATTTCTTATTATATATCTAATTTTTTTAATGAAAACTATTTTAAACTAGAGAACTCTGAAGGGGGTGGAAAGAAATGGATCTGAAGGTCAGGATAGTGATGACCAGAGGAAAGCAGCAGGTAGACTGCGCCCAAGGAAGGGAGGATCAAATCTCTAAGGATAACCTGAACTTCCAGCCCTCTGGCCTCATCTTGAGAGTCAGGTTATCAGGTCTTTGGGAGTCTTGTGTCTGGCTTGTACTTGGCTGCCCTTGGTTCAATGGTGGGATACGACCCGTACGCCCCCTGGGAGCACCAAGTACCATTCCAGTACGATGCTCCAGAGGGCACACCCACCGTCCTCACCTGTATTTGAGCTGATCAGGGCTTCCGTGCACGCATGCAGAGTGTACAGCCCCTGTCATGGGCGGACAGTACGCATGTGTGCACTGCGCATGTGCTGTGCACGTGCATGTGGTGGACGCCCAGTCCCATTGTACTGTACCAGTTGCAACGGGATCCGGAACTCAATACTGCCTTGGTTGTACTTTATTTTGGAAGTTATTACCTTTTTTTGCTTCTGATGATCACTTTACCTTAAAACATATTATGGATAATTCATTTCTGTTGTGTAGTTCTAACTCTTGTTTTTAATTTTTATGCTACGAGGGCAGATGGAATGTTCATAGAATGAACATTCTGGAATGAGAACATTGATGTTTTGCTTTAATACTATTTCTTCTTTGATTTCTTTCCTTTCCTTTTTTGGGGAACATGTCCTACTATTAATGTATTCAGATATTCCCTACCTATAGCAGTGTTTCAAAGAGGCTGATAAAGCACACTTCCCACTTTTCTCCCTATTATCCATGCATATAAAGTAGACCAATCCAAAAAGAAGAACTATATCATGTTGAATCTATATGCGTAAAGGGCCCCTAGCTAGAAGCTCTTCTGCAGGAGACAGCTGCCGAGGACCCCTGGTCACACATTGATTGAAAGTTGTGTCTCATACTAGAAGAGAGCTTCAATTAATGTTCAGACAGACATTTTGATCTTCCATTAAAAAAGTGGGTTATTTGTTTGCGGGGAAAACATTGACCTTGTGGTTTTGTTCATTCAGTGGAGCATTGTTAACGGCCCAAGAGCATTACGTCTTTTCTAGGGACTGTAATTTAAGATTCAACTCACACACAATGCAGTCTTGGTGTTTTGATTTGTGTCTTTTTGAGGGGGTATAATAATTTCTGTAGAGGAAGAAGAAATAGGTCAGAAAGAAATATCTATGAGATTTGCATGCCTTTTGAATAGTCTTTAAAGGGATAGTAAATCAAAATTAGCTACGCTAGTAATTATTTCGGCAACCCAGGAGGAACCTCCCACACTGGGAACTGCTCCGCAACTTGGTTAATCAAATATGTGTACAAATATGTCTTCAGCAAAGACTGCAAGGTTCAAAGTAATAAACCTGTAATTAATAGTTCTAGCTTGGAGTGTTTGGTAAATATGTTGTATTCCCATTCCAATGAGTTTGACATTTGTGTTCCTACAACAAGAGCACTGAGCAGGAGTTGGGCATTAAAGTAACACTGTTTAATCAAAGCCATCTGGTAGTGGCAATTTTAAACATAATTGTCTCCATGCAAAGACACTGTTTCTGTTAGCGTCTCTGGTGCATTAGTAATTTAGGATCAGAGTACTTGGGATGTTGCCTTATTTACATAACCTCCTTTGTGCAACCGCTCCTCTATCTTGAGCATTGTTTAACTAACAGGTCTGCCACTCTCCTCGTGTTACTAAACTAGAATGCATGGTTTATTATTTTTTCTTCTTCTTCTTCTTCTTCTTCTTCTTCTTCTTCTTCTTCTTCTTCTTCTTCTTCTTCTTCTTCTTCTTCTT